CAAAGCAACAAGGACGATAAGAGGAAGATGATCATGGAGGTTTCCCGAGCGGCGCGCTGCTGTCAGCAGGCGTTTTTGGTCGGCCAGATGCTGCTTTGTTTGTGGATCTTTCGCAACTGCCGACGGGTGTTCCGTAAGCGCTCTGGTGCCTGTGACACTTAGCACCACCCTTGCCGCCGCTCTGGAGAATCGTGGTAGCCAGGCAAGGCGACAACAGCCGAGGCAGTATATTCTGACTCTCTGAAGTACGTGGGTTATAAATGAAGGTCAACTGCGCGCGGGAACAGATAAAGGGCATGAGGAGGCTGCTGGGAGTGAGAGGGCTATGTATCGAAGATAGTTGAGTAGAAAATGAAACCGGCATAGGCCGCCACGCGGGTTCGCGGTGAACCGGGTCCTTTCGAGCCACCGGGCCGCGCAGACACGGGTCCGCGGTGGTCCTTTGAGTGGCCATGCTGCCTCTAGCCGCCCCGGTACACCATATTTTACCGGTAATTACCGTGGTATTATCGCCGGGGCGGCTCGCGGCTTTACAGGCCTCGGTAATACCGCGGTAATGACCGGTCATGCCAGCTTCGCGGCGCGTCGGGATGAAGCCGAGCCACCGTGGATGAGCCGCCGCACTGGGATGACGCCGAGCCGCGTGTCGTACTCGTGGCGCTTGGCGATGTTCGTTACTGTTCTCAGGCGGCATTCAATAGTTCGCACTGAGTGACGTCGGCACTCGGGCGGCCGGCGCTTCGTGCTGCCTTCGAGTGGTGCGTCGTATGCGAAGTGGAACAGCGCCGGCTGCGCCTTCCACGAGTTCTCGTACTTGACGTAGGCAATGCGTGCCAGTGCCTGGATCCACGTCGCCGTGGCTCAGCAGACCGCCGCGGCGCCCTGCCGCCGGCTAGGGCCCCGGAGCACGCGCGGAGATGAGGTACCGCAGCGTGCCGGGGCCACGCGTGTTTCCCCCTCCGCTGCGACCGCGTCGTTGTCGAGGCACGCCCAGACGCTCGTGCAGTCGCGTAGGTACTCGCCGGCGCCGCCGGCCAGGCGCGGGTCTGCGTGTCCGAGCCGTCGGCGCCACTCGCGCCATGGTCGACGTAGAAGTTAAAGCTCGCGCAGCATCCGGCTTCAATCAATGCTGCCAGTGCGCAAAACAACCGACGCCTAGGCCGGCCCATAGGAAATAAGAAAATATTATTTATTAATTAAATCCGGCCAGCGACGAGGGACGTGTACTAAACCTCCTGAAAATTTGCCGCGCGCGCGCGCGCGCGGGTCTAGTGCGGGTTGAAAGTCAACTTTTCGCGAAAAACGATCCTCACGCCCGAGTGTCTCAAAATGTACGACGCTACCGCACTCACAACGCCAGCCCCGGCGAAAGGACCCCACTTCCGAGCGGTTTACGCAAAGGGCAACCAAAAAAATGATGGCCAACAGCATGACGGAAACTCGCCCCGGCTGAATTCTAGTTAGTTAGTCGTTCAACATGAAGATTTTGTTGAACTTCAATAGTCAAGTTGAAGCTACAAATCCCTGGAACTTGAAGAAACCAGTACAACGTGCTCCTTGGCGCCCGCCGGTCGCAGCCGCAATGACACCGAAGCGCCACTGGCGCCGCCTTGTCCGAAATTCGGGCATTGTGGGCGATTTTGAGGAAAAAATTCTCCGATGACCGTCAAAATTTGTACTGCGCGCGCGGCCGCACGCGTCCGTAGGCGTACTAGGACGCCCAAAAAAACCTCGCCCCGCCCCCAAATCTAGTCTAGTTAGTCGTCATGCTGTCTACCCTAGTTAAAATAATTGCCCTTTGGTTTACGACCCCATAACTTCAACTTTTATGTTGAACTTGGCAACTGACCAAGCTGAACTTCAAGATACAAAACCCCCAGGCCTTTCGTTTCAAGGGTTGTTTTGCGCACTGAATGCTGCCGTCAAAATCGGCGCCGGAACATTCGTACAGAGGGATCTACAAACAAACTAGTAACGGGCCGACCAAAACACGTGCTGGTGAGCGACGAAACACTTTCAGGGCTGCCCTGGCAGCAGCACTTACTAATCAACGGGCCACGTGCATGGGTACCCATCGAGCACAACTTCGTCTTTTGCTCGAGGCGATGTGGCCGGTCGCGGGCGGACACTGAAGCTCGCGGCTAGGGTCGCGATCGACTCCCCTTGCAAACTCCGGTTAATTCAGGGCGCCCTGGCGCCTGGCCGGACGTGTCCCATGCCCCCCTGGGGCGGGGATGGCGCGGGGGCGCGCCCGCAGAAGGTCGTTCTGGCTGCCGTCGCCGGCCGCGGAGCTCATGACCATCGCGCACGCTAAATAAGCCTTGCAGCTCGAAATGCGCAAAATTTGGGCAAAGCGCGCCCAAGGCATGCTGGTGATCAGTCACCGGCGAGGTGCATGGCGTCGTCGCCCTACTACCTCGCGCACGGCCGCCGATGCGCCGCGAGCACGTCCGGTTCGACGGGAAATCCGCCGTGGAGCAACCGTCGCTCAAGTCATCGGCCGAGGAGAGGACGGTCGCCGAGCCGCCGCGCTCGTCGCCCTCCTCGTCGTGGTTGCCCTCGGGTTCGCGGCAGGTGGTTGGGCGTGCGCTTTTATGGCCGGTGCGCTGACCGTGGCGACGCCGTCGTCCTCGCGGCTCCTGTTGCGGCTGTCATCGGCTGTTCAGTGGTTGCGCGCGGCGCCAAGGCTCTGGCACTGCTGCGGCGCCGGCACGGGGCCGAAAGGCTCGCTTGAGTTAAGTTGATGGCTGTTTATCTGTTGGCTATGGACTTGGTTGATGAATCTATAAAACGCAGGCTGTTTCGGTATGTCCCTGCATGCAGGACGCATAAAGTTTGGAAATGGGTCTGTTCCAACCATCCAGCAGCACCTGTCACCCTTGGCCCTTAACTTAAGGTACCATGGATGCCTATTGTGCGCCCGGCTCTGGCTTCGTTCGCGGTCGTGTCCTGGAGCCTACTCGTCTTATTTAGTTGCGCGCCCCGTGAGAGCTTACTGGCGGGCTCGTCGGCGCGTCCCTATGGACGCGGGTGGTGGACTGGCACCGGCCCGTAGTGGCCCCCGCGGTGCTTTGGGTGTCCTGGGGCCAGCTAAGGATGGGTTCCTATAGGAATTGCTACTAGATAACTTAGCTTGTCTATTATTGCGCTACCAAAGCGCATTATTGCTATAGCCGCGATAAGGCAGTTTGGCAGCGACGCAGCTGTCTGGCTGCGTTTCGCATCGCTTCGCTGCGCGGCTTTGTTCTGCAACGCTTCTGGGGTCTCCGTGACCTTCGGGAACGGCGCGGTGCTGCAAATGCGTTGCAACGCGAGTAGCGCGGCGCTGTTTTTGCTGTGGGCCAATGTCGGAGCTGCGTTTTCCGATCGGTTTCGGCGACGCCGGCGGCCCTCGCCGGTGTCGGTGCCTTCTGTGGCCTTTGCAGAGCCGCCAGCGAGCGCGCCTTTTTGGCAGCCGCTGGCGGGCATCGATTCCGGCTCTTGTGGAGGCTGATTCCAACGCGCCTGCAACCGAGGTTGCATGGCTCGCAACCTTGCATTAGGCGGCGCGCGCCGTCTTCGAGTCGGTGGGAGAGGGCGCGGGCGGCGGACTTCCAGGTGCCAACTAACGCAGTGGGGCGGGAGACACGATCGGAGCAAAGAGACGCGGATCGGCCGGAGGAGACACGATCGTGTCTCCAGACTGCTGAGAGCAACAAATTAATATAAGTGGTATCCATGCGCGCAGTAATAGATGTGGTCTCCCACTCTCCATTCGACTGCCTCAGGATTCTGACCTTCGCACAGTCTTCGTCTGAACATGGGCATTGATACACTATGCTCTGGAAATCATATTTTGCGCGATATGCTATAACATGCAAAGTGCCGAAACCAAAATAAAATCCGATTACTCCTGGTCAAAAAGGTTGCACGGCCAGTGCAATGTTGAAGTTGCCTCTCTGCGTTTCCCCGGCCCGAACCGCGACCCGTGCCTGAAACACGTCGGAATCGATGCGATTAGACAACTTAGCGAGTCGTGGTTGACTCAGTATGATATATTCGACCGATTTTGCCGAGGGTCGAACGAAATTGAAGTTCACCGGACCACGCGCGCGCGCGGTCTACGTACAGTACTCAGTAGCAACGCGTCCAGCCTCAGAATAATAAATAATACTTCTATTGGGGGGCCCTACGCCTATGGTTGGTTTCGGCACTGTCCTGGGCAGGGCAACTCAGCCATTTGCGCCCACGCCGGCCCGGGGGGCTTGCAACGCGGATCACGACGACCCGGTTGAGCCAGCTGAGTTAGGACCTCTGCGGGGTATTGGTACCAGGAGCCCAGAAAGCTGGGGCCACTATGAATCAAAAATATCTAAAGTTAGGACCGTTGTGGGTGTTTTTGGCCTGGGTTAGGTAGGACCGTCCTGCATATATACGCCTTAGAATAGGACCATCCGATGTCGTGCACCTTGTGACTAAGGGGGGGGATAATCGCGGGTTTTTCTCTTTGATTATCAGTGAACTAGAACTAGAAGCCTACTAGTTAAGACGCCAAGAGGTAGGCGGTAGACTACCCTCAGACAGCATGTAGTACTAACTAACTACCCCTGAGTCGCGACCTGCTCAAAATGAGTGGTCAAAACAGCTGCAACATAGGGTCAACGAAGCCTGTGAACCACCCGTTCTGGCCAATCGGCAGCTGGAGGGCTGCTCGGCCACGACCTTCACTAGGTCGAAATTTATGATTGAGCGTCAAAACCACTAGTTTGCTCGAGTTCGAGATCCAAACTGGCCGATAGAGCCAAAACAAGCATATTTCCGGTGGAATCGAGTGGTCTCCAGCGGCTCCAGGGGTACTACCCCCACTACCACTACCACTACCTAACCCCATTCTCAGAGCACTCATCTCAGATCATCATGACATTAGTTATCGTATTTTGTGCATGCCTCTTGTAAGACGCCCTCTCTCCGTCGCATCGGTCGCATCCGTCGCCGTAAGCGTCCGCCAAATTTGACGCCTGCAGTGTACGCTCGCTGATGGATCCCGCGATCCCGCCTGTGGACACCATCGGCTACGTCATTTTGGCGGGGACGGCTGGCTCAAGACTCTTCCCATTGTCGGAGGACCTTCCGAAGGTACTACTCTCCGTGGCGAACCGGCCTATACTATGGTACATCCTGACGGCTTTGCGACGCCTTGGTTCGTGTCGGGTTGTGGTCGTAACGACGGGGCGCTTCGAAACGCAAGTCAAGGAAGTGTGCTGCGAGTTGGTGCAACGCGCCAGGACTGGAAGTGAGGTGAGTGACGAGACCAAGGGCGAATGCATGGCGTCTCCGAGTCGTCACTTGCAGCTCGTGGTAGATGTTTTGGTCGTAGATGAGATGCTGGGAAGTGGAGGGGCTTTGAAGGAAGCGCTGTGGCGGGATGCGACACTCTCGGGGTGCCGAGAGGTGTGTGTTCTTGCTGGGGATTGCTTGGTAGGCGCGGCAGCACTCCAACGCCTTCGAGCTGCTCACCATCGTGCATGCGTAGACTGCAGTCTATTGCTTTGCGGACGGAAAGTCTCACTCACGCTCAAGGATGTGAACGATGCGGAGCTGCTACTGCTAGATTCAGAGGGGCATATTGCAGCAAAGGTCAGTAAGCTTGAGCTCGACGATGATGCTGGAGGTGAAGGAGACGCTGAGGCGTCCCTACACCTGCCTCGGGCGTTGTTCGTGCGTACTCCTTTGCTTGACTGTCGTAGCGATCTCGTGGATGCACATGCCTACTACTTTGATGGCTTGGCATTGCGCGCAGCTCTCGCAGCACCAGAACTTGCGCACGCGACTTCTCTTGGAGCAGATATTGTCCCGTACCTTGCTGCACGCTACTTTCAAGGCATGCAACTACCTCCCTGCCGCCCTGCTCCTGCATCGTGCGCGACCTGCACTGCCATAATGGCCAATACTGAAAAAATTACGTTGCCACAGGCCGCACGAGGCGCGGCTGCATGCATTGCTGATGACTGGGATCTTGGAGCCTCAGATGATGATGACAGCGACGACCCCCTTGGTTCACACTTTGCCACGAGAGTTCGCACCATTCCCACGTACGTAGCTGTCTGTCGGCATGTAGTCGCGCACGCGGCAGCGTCTACACGCACCCAAGATATGATGTGTTGCCAAAAAGTGTCACTCGCTAGGCGTGCGATTTTACTCGGGCGCAAAGATATGTGTATGGGCACACTAAGTTGCCGTGACAGTACGCTCGTTGGCGATGGTACTGTTCTTGGAGAGAAGGTTCAGCTGAAGCACAGCACCGTGGGCACGAATGTGCGAATTGGTGCTCGCTGCAAGATTAACAACTCCATCCTTCTCGAACGCGTCGTTCTCGGTGATCACTGCGTTGTTCAAAATTCGATCATAAGCGCAGATGCCACGCTGCACGAAAGGTGCAACCTCAACGAATGTCAAGTTGCTGCTGGCGCCATCGTCCCAGTTAATACTGTGGCTAGGCCGGAGGTCTTTTTGGCAGTAGACACCTCTGCCCCAGGCCCCAAATTACGTGTTAATAACGCGTTATAAGCGCCATAATAATAATAACCTGGCCGAGGAACCCGCGTAATTTACGTAAATATCGCGGTCCATTTTTTTTTTACTCAACTTTTTTTTTCTAGTCTAAATCGACGCCGCTTGCATCTCGGACCCCCGGCGAAAACAAAAAAATAACATAAAAAAAAGCTCCGCGTAAATAACGCGTAAATGACGCGTAAATAACGCCGTGGCGACGCTCACGTTAATAACGCCGTCGCGTACCTCTAATGGTGGTTCAAATTAGACCCCCATGGTGGTTCTGTCTAGGTCGACCCGCGCGCGCGCGGGTCGACGGAAGACCTCTATGACATACTACGGCCGGCGGCCCGACATAATAATTAATTACTTCTATGGGCGCGGCTGGCCCTGTGGTTGTTTTTGTCCTTGCCAGTGATAACAGTTACTGGCCTTTGCTACATGTAGTATAAATTCCCAAATCTTAAAAACATGTCACTTTTCCACGCTCGCGAATGGTGGTCAGCGAAGCTCGGTTGCGCTGAGTCCTTTAGTGACGGATCATTAGCGGTCGGAATGATTGATTCAAAACAAGCTGGGTCTTCAAAAGTGATAATTGGGTCCTTGCAAGGTCGCCTGAGAATCTTCGAACCTAGTCGATACAGGAACGAAATCGCGACTGCTCTCCTCCTGGAATGTCAACTAGAAGCCCCAATATTACAAGTTGAGTTGGGAAGATTGATTGCACGGAAGGAAACAAATGGTATCGGTATTTCAGTTCTACATCCACACAAGGTCGCTGTATACGCAGTTGAAGCTCGTATTGTCATGCTAGACTCCCTGGAAAACGAAATTCCCAGCGCGGCAGGAGATGACAGCAGTACAACTCATCACGAGTTGCTTCTACAATACAGTCACCGATTTGACCAAGCGATACCACCATTTATTGCTTTCTCGGTGTGCATTGGTCCATTTGGTGGTGCTCGTGGTCATGATCTCATTCTGGTGCAAAGTATAGACGGGCGCATACTGATATATGAATACGATGTCGGTTCAGTCTACACGCCTCATCTCATAAGATTTACAAGGCGTTACCTTAGGCTGAAGCATTTTCGAGAAGACTGCAGGACTGTCTTCTGCCTGGTCCTTTGATTTATGCTGCTCAAGTTGACGCATTCATAACATCCACTTCGTCCTTACACATCAAGTGCTACAAATACCAGGTCTTCACTTTCTTCTTCTCGGGATCTCCTTTGAGAGCACGTTGCACAGATACTCGCAGCCTCGACCGATGTCATTTCAACAACAAATAGCTCTATGGAGCCGGAGAACCCAAGGGGTGCGGCGACAGTTGCCATCGGATCAGAGGAGCTTCCTGGAACTACTGAAAATTCAATGGTTGGAAACGGCATTACGTCGAGGAGGATACTCACTGCAGACTGGAGCTTGAATGTGGGTGAGCAAGTGCACGCTCTAGAAACAGCCCGATTCACTCCCTCGGTCCCTCTCCTCCATTGTAATGCGCAGAGTTTGAGCCGCAATATCAGAGGACCCATTGCTTTTAGGTGATGTACTGGCGCTTGGTGAACGGACATTGTTTATTTTGTCAGCAACTGGTGTTCTAAAGGCGACGAAAATGCTTGATTTTAGACCTATGTCGATGTGTGTTTACTCCCGCACGCAACGGTCGATTCAAAGTGGCAGCACAACTTCATCGGTCAGTAAAGCCCCGCTTCAGAGAAGCTGGCTAATATGTTCTCCACCAGGCCAACATTCTTACTGACGAAGATCATGATGGATTTATCGTCAGCACTGATGATGCCAGGCTTCTAGTATTTGCCGGACCGTTGAACTTGATATGGGCAGCACGTGGTGCGCACGGAGAAAAATGCAGGCCTCTTTCAATATCTACGATGGATGTTGAGTCCAGCGCAATGCTGCCGCTGCATTTGTGCATTCCTAGTTTTACCAGGTTCCCGGGGCGAAGGGTGCTGTGGCGGGCATGATCGTGGCACACACCAGCGGACATGATCTGGCAATTTGTCTGTGAGTCGTGAGCTTCGAGGATATGACGCGTAGGTCTTAGATGAATCAAGTCGTCTTACACTCCAGTACGTCCTATGGAATATTTTCGCAAGAGAAATACATGGTAGGTACCTCGGTACAGAACCTTCAGTCGAAACTGATGGACTTAAGCCCGGTGTTGATGGAGAGGCCAGGGCTGCAGTACAAGGACATGAATATGATACGATGCTGCGAGAACTTCGTATGCTACGATCGGGGATATCTTCCCAAGCTAGAACACCAGTTGATTCAATCAATGCGAGTGTCATCTTGCGTGTGCAGCCACCACGTCTCCTGGATGCAGGAGCAGCGTGTTCTGATTTAGACGACAATATGTCCAGAGAACAGCAAGGCGAATGTGGGTTTTCCGGGGTGGGCAGGCTCTACACAACTCGTGGTGGGTAGAAGTTCTCCGCGACAAGTACATCTTAGTTCATTGGGACGCTCAGGTGATATCCCTAGGAGTAGCTGCGATCTACCATGCAGTGTTACAGCAAGAATTTTTGTTTCCTATTCAGGTACTGGCAGCTTGGATGATGTGATGATTACTATAGCTGCACCCGCTTGGACAAGTAATGTCACGCCAAACGTAATAGTCCCAAGGTTGCACGGCAAGGCAAATACGCCAATAACCGTGCAGTGCACCCTGATTGCTCGGCCTTCGATTCCACCTTCCGAACTTTGCGCCAAGGTATCTGCGATCTTTATTAAGAACGATATCCCACGCTGCTCATCAATGGAGTTTCGACTTCCTATGTCTCTCGCATGTAGACTGATCCTACCTCCGAAACGCGAGGCCACGTATAAGCTAACAATTCAAACTGATAGAGAGCCAGTGAGTAACCGCACTCTTGCGATATGTTTATATCAAATGTTGATCAGGTCTTATTGAGCTCCGTCTTTAGTGACATGTTCCTATGTGAGAGCGGCACTGAGAGTACAGATCTTGTGTCGTCTAACGCCGTTTCTTTTGCTTATTTGTTCCACGTGCAAGAAGAATTGGACGTTACTGAGAGTGAATGCAGCACAACCGACCCTCGGGTTCCAAACAAGGCCATAGCCACGATTTTACTATCGAGGAATTCGGGTCGCTACCGTGTACAGTCCACCTCCATGTCAGCCCTGTGGCTTGTTTTGGACGAGCTTGCTGCTCGTCTAAAATCGCGGTGGGCTCACAGTGGTGGAATAAAGATGGCTTACACTGAACAACTTCCTCTGTCGGACTTCTATGCCACTTTGGACAGACACCATAATTCGCGTAGCGCTGTCCGTCGCGCTGAAGCAATGCTAAATGACTCCGCCCAGCAATATAGAATTATCCAGAAGAGACTTCTAATTCGCTTCAAAGACAGTCGCCCGGCAAATCTCGATAAATTAGATTTAATATTATGGCAAACACACTCGAATCTCCTTTATTTGGCTTCGTGTGTAGAGGTTGCTCATGATGCTCGTGATCATGCAGGGCACATTCTGGCATGTGGAACGCAGTTGCTGCTCTTGTTAATGCGAATGCGTTTCACTCTATCCCTGGCAGATTTTGATGTTCTTCGCAGCCATTTGAGTCCGGCGGTGATGGAATGTAACCACGGATCAGTAGACGATTCGTTATCGGGCTGGGAAGAGACTACAGATGCTTCCCTGACATATCTCCTTAAAACTTCCCTGTTGAAGTCCTACCCTGTGTGTGGTCGGCGCAATGACCATGAGCCAGAGCCTATTCCAAAGACAAACATACCTCCAGTGCCACTGGCGTTTCCTGTGACGACAGATAGACTAAAGAGGCATGTTGCCATGGTCTGTGACCGACTTGCGCATGGTCTAACTTTCACGAGCAATCGTGGGGCGCCCCAGGGACGCGCCTCAGCATCAGTCAGGTAGTAGATCGTGCCACTATTTCCAGTCATCAAGCCAAGCACCAGGCTGTAGCTTCCCCCGCGCTGCAAAAGCGCGAAGGGAGCAAGGGTGCAAAACCCAAGCCCCCACCCCTGACCGACAAGCGCTCATTCTCGAGTATAAAGCGCCACTACCGGGGGGGGCTTGTAGAGGGCCGTGGGGTGGGCTTCCCAGTCCCCACCGGCCCCACCGCCTAGGGCACTAGGGTATTAAAGGAAAGCGTCGTGACGCACTCACTTAGCTCATCCGGGGACGCCGGTCCCCCCTCACAAACGCTAATCTAGGACAGCTCGCGTCGGCGAAACGGCGCCACGGGGCCCGCGAGCCCCCCCCCCAAAGAGCAAAAGCAACAGCAGCATTGAAATTTAAAACAACATGACGACAACGTGAACACATGAGGTGAAGCCACTGCGACCTTTTACGCGTGCGCGAGCGGCAGCCCGCAGCCGTCATGCTCCGGAGATATATGAGTATCCTCGAGAGGTATCCTTCGCGTTTTGAGGTGCGTCGGTACGCGATGCGCGACTTCGGGTCGATAGACGGGCTCGGTACGGATCTGCGGAAGGACCCCGCAATAAATGAAACGCGCTCTTCAGCGACTTTGAAGGTAGCCTCGCTAGGGACGATTTTAGTGCTGCTGTCGATGGTTTCAATATCGCGCGAAACAGTCTTTGAGTTTCTATCCCTAGCGACCTCGGCGCGGTACACGGGTATGCCAACAATGGAGCCGCTATTTATGCCAGACGCACCAGAACACCCTTCAATGCCTCCTACGTATTTCCCGACGTATTTCCCGACGACCGCGACGCACAATCCGACGCCGCGCCCTACACCCCGCCCGACCCTGCATCCTGTCCACCACCCGACGCTTGCACCGACCCACAACACCGATTGGGCTAACGCTGGAGCGAACGCCGGCAAGGGGGAGCAACCGATGGTAGCGCTCGACTTTGAAACCTCGAACGCTCAATACCCAACACCTACGTCCATGGCGTACCTCCCGAACTGGCCATACATGATGGAACCTTTCCGTGAAGTGACCCTCACTCCGAAGCACGGCGTCGAATCTGACGCCGAGTACCGCTGGACGGTGATGATCGCTACATCGAAAACAAATGATGCGTTTGGCGACGACGACTTTAGCGAGGTCATTGTGCGAGACCATGCGTCTGCCAATTACTCTTTCACGCCCACCAAAGCAGGAAAATTTTATAATATTAAGCTAGTTGAGCGGTCCTCGGATGTCGGTATAGACGGGCGAGAGACAGCACGTGAGACAAAACGGATTGCGGAGGGCGCTGTCATCTGTAAATATGTGCGACGCGAGCTCCGCAAACTGACTCTGGAGGATCGCACTCTCTATTTTGACGCCCTGCAGAAAATATATTCCCTCGAATTGTGGGAAGGCCAAACGAGCTACGGCGAGAATTTTCGGAATGGGGCATACTTTACCAAGAAGCATCTCGCTGCCATGTCGATTGAAGGTTGCACCCCCTGGCACACGGGCACTGTGTTCCTCACAGCCCACTCAGCCATGACACGTGAGTTTGAAATGGCGCTGCAGTCAATACATCCGTCGTTGGCTGCGCCTTACTGGGAGTACACGCTGGACTCGAAGCTCTACGGCGACGCGTGGACGCGTTTCTCACCGGTCTTCTCCGACGACTTCTTTGGCGTGTTTCCGGTGGAAGCCCCGTTCACGGTTTCTACTGGAGGTGTACCTGATGTTCCACTTACGACCGAATCATGGGACTCGCCTGAACACTCACCGTGGGGATACCTCATGGACAATTTTGCGTCAGATGAGACGGCCTACGTGACACGTGCCGCATCCATGTGTGGACTTCCGACCACCGCACCTTTACCGACCTGTGCAAAGCTTCGCCTTATGGCAGATCAGACGTCTTCATCAGCATTTCGCTCGTTCGTTGAAACTTACTACCACGCTGAGATCCACCCTCTCGTTGGCGGAGCTTGGGACTGTAAATTTGGTGAAGCAAAAACGCTTATTGATCAGTTCCCATCTCTCGCGCCTTACGTAGAAGACATCTTAACGGATCTAGGTGTACTCATGCGTTACGCCTACAGTGTACAAAAGAACTTCTCGAACGGTGTACTGATACCAGGCATGGCAGGATGGTCCAAACAGTGGGGCGACGTTCGCTGCCCACAGGACTGTTCGTCACCCCACAGCGGTTCGCAACCCAACGTCACATCTGCCATCGACATTGACGACAATGCGCCAACGAGTCTCGAGGATGATGATTCCTCACGCCGGCGACTGAAAAAGTCGGACGACGACGACGACGATGACGACGACGCTAATGACGTTTTCTTTGATGACTCGCCATCGTCCTCCCATGACCCAGACATCTGCACGTGCACGATAGATCGGGTACGTATACCGCTCGAGGAAGGCAAGGAGATGACTATAGAGTTTGCCTTCCACACTTTGGCGGACATCGAACTTCTCGACAAGCTTGCTGCGGCCACAGGCACAGCGGCGGCTAGCATCACAAACTACGATGACGACTGGCCACGAGAGTATGGGGACACGGTGTCGGGATGGGGAAATTACACGGAATATGAGACCGTTAAGCTCTTCAAAGGTCTTGGTCAACGTGATACCGCAGAGCTTGTGATGTGGTTCGTCAAGCTTATGGCGTACTTTCCTAAAGTTGGTCCTATGACCGCCATTTTGGGGTCACCCGCAGATCCGATATTCTGGGCTGCCCACGAGTCGTGGGAGCGCATGTGGCACTATCTTCGTCTTGTTAATCGCAACTCACCACTTGGTCACAATGCGACCGATTTCTGGTCGACCTGGCGACAGGAATACATGAACAATCCGGGCGTGACGTGCTCGTGGTCTTCCCAAGCGTATTCCATGCTCCCATTTTGGAATCTCATGGATTATGAGACCACGTGGGACATCGAGCGCAATTACTGGGGGTCCTATCATGCCTCTGAGTATCAATATTATACGAATGCCGATCTTAATCGCATGTTCTCTCCGACAAACCCCGAATTGCCCTTTCTCTATGACGAATTCGCGTGGAACCATTGCGATGAGTGGGATTCCAATGGCGCCTCGACCAAGAACACAGCCAATAACGTGACCAAGAATCTGGGCGTCGATGATGACGACAACACCGTTCCTACTCGCTCTGAGATGGATGACCGCACCAACGACGATGATGCCGGTCTTGGGAAAAGTTCAGGGCCGCCTGCCCTCGACGACAGCGACGATGACGATGACGACGATGTCGCTACCATTCTCCCTGACGCACTCTCACCCTCGCGCAAGCTCCAGCGGGATCATGCGCATCGCCACGGTATGGGAGGCTTCGTCGGCGAGGTCAACAATAGTACCCTTGGTTTCCGCGAGCACTTCCGCGCGAATCTCCGGAAGTCTCTTTACGAGCACCTTGGCAAGCAGTACCATGAGACAAAGCGCCATGCCGAAAAGCTCCACACGAACATGGATGGTACGGGTCAGCTCGATCAACTCCGCCAATGGCTCTATCAAGATCCAAACATACACGAAAAAGTAGATTTCTCCGATGGTACATACAAGCAAACAAAGATCGGAGTTGAAGGATTGAAAGGAGGCCTCGTGGGCGCAGAAGCCCGCACACTACCCGAGATATAGCCGCAAATTGGAACCACAATCCAAAATAGGAAGCAGATTTTGTCGCTACCAAAGTGAGTCAGATGCTACGACGGCACATAGCCCTTAAAATAAGCCCCCCTCAGATTCCAGAGCCCAGGGAGGGGCCAAAGGGGCCATGGCAGGGGAATCAGGCGCATCTCGCCGTGATAAAGCGGCGAATGTCGCCCGGAGAACGCGAGTGTGATAAAGCAAAATCAAAGTGTGTGCTCGTCGGTAGGCGTTGCCACGTGATAGTCACGGTTGATCTGTTTGGCAGGGCGGTGGCTGCGCCATCCAAGCGCGGCCCGTCGGCCTTCATTCTGGCATTACCTAACTAATCTGAGCTCAGCCCCCCCCTCAAGGGAGGAGTTTACCTTAGGAGCGAAAACGCCCTTAAAACTTCTGAACTGAACAATAGCTACGGCCAGCTCACGTCGGACGGCTACGACGTGGACCTCAATCGCCTCGCACGACATGGAGTGATTTTTTGGGAACGTCACTAAAGCTGGATATATATCCACCGTCGCTCGCTGTAGGTAATATAGGGACATACTAGAGGTACAAGCCAGGTGCACTGCCAACTTCAAGCTAAGCCAATCAAGTTACCTTAGTCCATTATCCCGCCACAACGCCCCCAAACTTGATTCTAGGGTGACTCCTAGATCAGCCCGGCCAACCCAGCCAAGTAGCAGGAGCGGTCCCCGGACGCCGGTTCCTGGCGGATTGAGCGTCACGATTAAGCTGGGAGCCCTGGCGCGTCCAACTCGCGCGAAGCGCGTGTTCGCGCGTCGTGGTGGGCGTCTGGGAGCCGTCGGTTTCGCGGGCCGCGAACGCCTCTCGGGTCGAAACGTTGGTTCTTGGCAGTTCCAGATGCCTGGAACGCGTTCCGGGCGTCCTAGCCGATGGAAGAAGAGGTGAGGGCGGCACCGCTGTCGGTCGACCGCGTTCCTCGTCGCTGCCTTGACGTCGGCTCGCTCGTTCTCGATTACGACGTTGTGGTTCGACCGAGTGAAACCCGTCGCGCAAGGCCGAGTCGGCGACACCGACGCTTTCCGAGGCGTTGACGGAGGGTCTCGGCTGGATCTGCGCGCAAACCGTGAGTTCCGGTCGCGTCTGCCGGCATAGGGCGGTGCACTCGTCGACTCAGCGCGCGAGAGCCCTGATTTCGCAGATAGCCGCGCTCCTCGGTTCGCGCGGCGACGTCAATCAGCTCAGAGACGCGACAGAAACAGCCACGGACAGACTGGTGCACCTGCAGAGGCGCCGCACGTCATGCACGCCGGCGCCGCCGCTGGGCCCGGAGAGCGTCTCGGTGCAAGGCCGTGCTTGCCG